GGCCATTCATTTCCATCTGGAAAGTAAAAGGGTATTCACTACTTTGGGTATTCCAATTTAATAAACTCAAACTTCAAGAAGTTTCATAGCTATAATTACATATAATTAATTCAAATATTTTAATTGACCGAAACTAATAATTTTAGTCTAAATTCCTTATTTTTGTTAACGAATTTATTAAATATGTAAAAAATTATTAATTTTGAATTGAGAAACACAAAATGTTGACTAAAATTTCAATTTTTTCATAGTAACGTTTCGAATCCATAATAAAGAAAAATAAATCCCCCAACTTTCACCGTCCACGCACAAAATCTCAAGAGCCCTTTCTTTTGAGAGCTTCATTAGTAGCAAGAAATAGCTTTACTTCACCTGAATATGTCTATATATCTAACAAAACCATTTCTTTAATTTATTTTCCTCCTTTTAGATGCATTTATATGTATGTATACCTAAAAAAGTCATTAAAACTGCTTGTTCACTCGACATACATTCAATTTAAAATAATACATTTTTTCATTTTATTGAGAATTTAATGATTCACTTTCTTAATTATGTTATTATTTTAGGATTCGGAGATTTGTGGATGCATGCCAGTCATTCTCATCCGTCAAGTAAAAGTGTATTCATTAATTCGGATATTTGGAATCAAAAATTCAAACTTTGAGAAGTGTCTTATCCCTTAATTTCACATAATTAATTAAATTATTTTGTTTGACCGAATCTAATAACTTTAGTCTAAATTCTTTAATTTTCTTAAGAAATACATAATATACTTTTAAAAATATTATTGCTGAATTGAACAACATAAAAAGTTGACCCAAATTCATAACTTTTTCATACATACGCTTCAAATCCTGAATCACTATAAATAAAGTTGTCGCCCTTGCTTTCACCACAAACAAAATTTCAAAAGCTCTTTCTTTTGAGAGTTTCAATAGTAGAAAGAAAGAGTTTTACTTAACTTGAGTATGTATATACACCCAACAAAGTCAATTCGTTCATTTCTTTTCCTACTTTTAGATGCATTTATAAGTCTATATACCTAACAAAGTCATTTATACTGCTTGATGACTGAAATTACATTCAATTAAAAACAACGCACTTTTTCCTTTTCTTGACAATTTTATCATTCACTTTAATATTTATGTTATTATTTTAGGATTCGAGGAGTTGATCATGCTGACTTTTCATTCCCATCCGGCAAGTAAAAGGCTATTCACTTATTGGTCACTCCAATCTAAAAAACTAAACTTCGAGAAGTTTATTAGCTATAACATTAATTCTAATATTTTGTTTGACCGAACCTAATAACTTTAGTCTAAATTTTTAATTTTATTAACGCATTTATATAATATTGTAAAAAATATTAATGATGAATTATGCCATATAAAATGTTGTTCCAAATTCTTAATTTTTTCATACTTACGCTTCAAATCCAGAATACCTATCAATAAATTTTCTGCGCCCCCCCCCCCTCCTTTCACTCTCCACACACAAAATCTCAAAAGCTCTTTCTTTTGAGATCTTAAATAGTAGCAAGAAAGCGCTTTACTTCACTTGAGTATGTCTATATACCCAACAAGGTAAATTCTTTCATTTCTTTTCCTCATTTTAATGAATTTATATGTCTATATACCTAACAAAGTCATTAAAACTTCTTGTTGACTCGAAATATATTCAAATAAAATCAATACGCTATTTCATTTTGTTGGCGATTCTATCGTTCACTTTCATAATTATTTTATTATCTTAGTATTCAGAGATTTGAGGATGCCGACCATATATTCAATTCCTGCAAGTAAAAGTGAATTCACTAATTCTTGTACTCCGATTTACAAAATTCAAACTTCGAGAAGTGTCTTAGCCGTAATTTTCACAAAATTATTTCGAATATGGTTTTAGACCGAATCTAATATCTTTAGTCTAAATTCTTTTATTTTCTAAACATATTCATTATATATTTTTAAAAAATATTAATGTTGAATTGTGCAACATAAAAAGTTGACCTAAATTCTTAATTTTGTCATATTTACGCTTCGAATCAAGAATCACTATAAATAATGACGTCCCCCTTTCACTGTCCACACATAAATCTAAAAAGCTCTTTCTTTTCATAGCCTCAAAATAGTAAGAAATAGCTTTACTTCACTTGAGTATTTCAATATACCCAACAAAATCATTTCTTTTCCTCCTTTAAGATACATTTATATGTCTTCATACCTAATAAAGTAATTTATAATGCTTGTTGACTTGAACTAGGATCAATCAAAACCTATAGATTTTTTCCTTTTTTTTGACAATTTTGTCGTTCACTTTCATAATTATAATAAGTTTTAGGAATCAGAAAGTTGAGGTTCATTCCCATCCTGAAAGTAAAAGGGTATTCAATATTCCGGGTACTCCAATTTAAGAAATTCAAACTTTAAGAAGTTTCTTAGCCATAACTTACATATAATTAATTCAAATATTTTGTTTGACTGAATCTAATAATTTTAGTCTAAATTCATTGTTATTCTTAATGAACTAATTAAATATTTAAATACTTATTAATCTTGAATCGAGAAACATTAAATGTTGACCCAAATTCCTTATTTTTCACACTTACGTTTCAAATCCATAATCAATATAAATAAATCCCCCCCCCCTCGCTCCCCACACAAAAAATCTCAAGAGCTCTTTCTTTTGAGATGTTCAATAGTAGTAAGAAAGAGTTTTACTTCACTTGAATATATTTATATACCCAATAAAGGCATTACATTAATTTATTTTCCTCCTTTTAGATGCATTTATATGTTTGTATACCTGAGAAAATCATTAATAATTCTTGTTGACTTGAAATACATTCAATTAAAAACAATACATTTTTTCCTTTTGTTGACTATTTTATGGTTCACTTTCTTAATTATGTTACTACTTTGGGATTTGGATATTTGAGTATGCCGGCCATTCATTATCATCCGGCAAGAGAAAGTGAATTCATTATTTCGGGTACTCCAAATTAAAAAATTCAAACTTCGAGAAGTGTCTTAACTTTAATTTTCACATAATTAATTCGAATATTTGTTTGACCCAATCTAATAACTTTAGTCTATATTCTTTAATTTTCTTACGGAATACATTAAATATTTTTTAAAATATTAATGTTTAATAGAAGCAAAATAAAAAGTTGACCTAAATTCACAACTTTGTAATACATACGCATCAAATCCTGAATCATTATGAATAAAGTAGTCGCCCTTTCATTCTGCATACACAAAATCACAAAATCTCTTTCTTTGGAGAGCTTCAATAGTGAAATAACGAGATTTACTTCACTTGAGTATGTCTATACACCCAACAAAGTTATTTCTTTAATTTCTTTTCGTCCTTTTAGAAGCATTTATATGTCTATGTACCTATTAAAGTCGTTTATATTGCTTGATGACTAGAATTACATTCAATTAAAAAAAATACACTTTCTCCTCTTTTTTTTTTTGACAAATTTATCATTAACTTTAATAATTATGTTATTATATTAGGATTCGGAGAGTTGAGCATGCCGTGCATTTATTCCCATCCGGCAAGTAAAAGGCTATTCACTAATTCGGGTACTCCAATCTAAAAAATTCAAACTTCGAGAAGTTTCTTATCTATAACATTCATGTAATTAATTTAATATTTTGTTTGATAAAATCTAATAACTTTAGTCTAAATTCTTTAATTTTGTTAACGCATTTATTAAATATTTAAAAATATTGATGTTGAATTGAGCAATATAAATGTTGAGACAAATTCTTAATTTTTTAATATTTACGCTTCAAATCTTGAATCACTATCAATAAATTCCTCCAACTTTCACTCTCCACACACAAAATCTGAAAAGCTCTTTCTTTTGACAGCTTCAATAGTAGCAAGAAAGAGGTTTACTTCCCTTGATTATATCTATATAACTAACAAGGTGACTTCTTTCATTTCTTTTCCTCCTTTTAGATGCATTTATAAGTCTATATACCTAACAAAGTCATTAAAACAACTTGTTGACTTTAAATATATTCAATAAAAATCAATTCACTTTTTCACTTTGTTGATAATTTTATCATTCACTTTCTTAATCTGTTATTGTTTTAGGATTCGGAGATTTGAGGAAGACGGCCATACATTCAAATCCAACAACTAATAGTGTATTCACTTATTCTAGTACTCTGATTTACAAAATTCAAAGTTTGAGTAGTGTCCTAGCCGCAATTTTAACAAAATCAATTTGAATATTTCATTTTGACCGAATCTAATAACTTTTGTCTAAATTCTTTTATTTTTTAAACACATTCAGTATATATTTACAAAAAATTTAAGTTTAATTGTGCGACATAAAAAGATGACCTAAATTCTTAATTTTGTCATACTTACGCTTCAAATCTAGAATCAATGTAAATAAAGTCGTCCCCCTTTCGCTCTCCACACATAAAATCTCAATACTCCTATTTTTCATCGCTTCAATAGTAGCAAGAAAGATTTTTACTTCACTTGAGTATGTCTATATACCAAACAAAATTATTTCTTTTCCTCCTTTAAGATGCACTTATATATCTCCATACATAACAAAGTCATTTATAGTGCATGTTGACATGAACTACAGTTAATTAAAAACAATACAATTTTTCATTCTTTTGACGTATTTGTCGTTCACTTTCATAATTATGTTAATATTTTAGGAATCGGAAAGTTGAGGATGTCCGCCATTCATTACCATCCGGAAAGTAAAAGGTTATTCACTGATTCAGGCACTCCAATTTAAAAAATTTAATCTTCAAGAAGTTTCTTTGCCATAACTATCATATAATTAATTAAAATATTTTGTTTGACCGAATCTTATAACTTTAGTATAAATATTTTAATTTTCTAAACATATTCATTATATATTTAAAAAAATATTAATGTTGAAGTGTGTAACATAAAAAGTTGATCAAATTTTTAACTTTGTCATACATACGTTTAAAATCCTGAATCACTATAAATAAAGTTGTCCCCCTTTCACTCTCCACACACAAAATCTCAAAAACTCTTTCTTTTGAGAGCTTCAGTAATAGAATAACAAAATAGTTTTGCTTTAGTTAAGTTTGTCAATACACCCAACAAAGTCAATTCTTTCATTTCTTTTCATCCGTTTAAGTGCATCAATAAGTCTACATCCCTAACAAAATCATTTATACTGCTTGATGACTCGAATTACACTCAATTAAACACAATACACTTTTTCCCTTTTTTTGTTTTGATGATTTTATCATTCACTTTCATAGTTATGTTATTATTTTATGATTCGGAGAGTGGAGCATGCCGACCATTACATTCACATCCGGCAAGTAAAAGGCTATTCACTAATTCAGGTATACCTATCTAAAAAATTTAAACTTCGAGAAGTTCTTAACTATGACATTCATATAATTAATTCTAATATTTTTTTTTGACCAAATATAATAACTTTAGTCTGAATTCTTTAATTTTGTTAATGCATTTGTTAAATATTTGAAAAAATATTAATGTTTAATTGAGCCATATAACATGTAGAGACAAATTCTTAATTTTGTCATACTTATGCTTAAAATCCAAAATACCTATCAACAGATTCCCCCCCCCCCCCTTTCACTCCCCAAACACAAAATCTCAAAAGCTCTTTCTTTTGAGAGCTTCAATAGTAGCAAGAAAGAGCTTTACTTCCTTCAGTATGTCAATATACCCAACAATGTGACTTCTTTAATTTCTTTTCCTCATTTTAGATGCATTTGTATGTCTACATACCTAACAAATTCATAAAAACTTCTTGACTCAAAATATATTCAATTACAACAAATAAACCTTTTCATTTTACAGGTTATTTTATCGTTCACTTTCATAATTATGTTATTATTTTAGGATTCGGAGATTTGAGGATGCCGGCCATGTATTCAAATCCAGCAAGTAAAAGTGTATTCACAAATTGTGGTACTCCGATTCACATAATTCAAACTTCTTGAAGTGTCTTAGCCGTAATTTTCACAAAATTAATTTAAATATTTTATTAGACCGAATCTAATAACTTCAATCTAAATTCTTTTATTTTCTAAACATATTCATTATATATTTAAAAAAAATATTAATGTTGAATTTGTCAAAATAAAATGTTGACCCAAATTCTTAATTTTGTCATACTTATGCTTCAAATGCAAAATCACTATAAATATAGTCGTCCCCCTTTCACTCTCCACAAATAAAATTTCAAAAGCTCATTCTTTTCATAGGTTCAATAGTAGCTTAAAATAACTTTAGTTCACTTGAGTATGTCTATATACCCAACAAAATCACTTCTTTTCATCCTTTAAGATGCATTTATACTACTTGTTGACTTGAACTATAGTCAATTAAAAACAATACACTTTTTCTTTCTTTTGATGATTTTGTCGCTCACTTTCATAATTATGCTAATATTTTAGGAATCGGAAAGTTGAGGATGCCGGCCATTCATTCACATCCGTAAAGTAAAAGGGTATTCACTAGTTCGGGCACTCCAATTTAAAAAATTCAAACTTCAAGAAGTTTCTTAGCCATAACTTACTTATAATAAATTCAAATATTTTATTTTACCGAATGTAATAATTTTAGTCTAAATTCTTTATTTTTCTTAAAGAACTTATTAAATATTTAAATATTTTTTAATTTTGAATTTAGAAACATAAATTGTTGACCCAAATTCCTAATTTTCACACTTACGTCTCAAATCCATAATCAATATAAATAAACCCCCCCCCCTCTTAACTCTCCATGCACAAAATCTCAAGAGCTCTTTCTTTTGAGAGATTCAATAATAACAGGAAAAAACTTTACTTTACTTGAATATGTCTATATATCCAACAAAGCCATTTCTTTAATTTATTTTCCTCCTTTTAGATGAATTTATATGTATCCATACCTAATAAAGTCATTAAAACTGCTTGTTGTCTCGATATACCTTCGATTTCAAACAATACATTTTTTTTAAAATTTTGTTGACAATTTAATGGTTCATTTTCTTAATTATGTTATTATTTTAGGATTGAGAGATTTGAGGATGTCTTCCATTCTTTCTCATCCGGTAAGTAAAAGTGTATTCATTATTTCGGGTAATATTTTTTATAAAATTCAAACTTCAAGAAGTGTCTTAGCCGCAATTTTCACATAATCAATTTGAATATTTGGTTTTGACCGAATCTAATTACTTTTATCTAAATTCTTTAATTTTCTTAAGACATACATTATATATTTTTATAAATATTAATGTTGAATTGTGCAACATAAAAAGATGACCGAAATTCTTAATTTTGTCATACTTACGCTTAAAATCCAGAATCACTGTTAATAAAGTTGTCCCCCTTTAACTCTCCACACATAAAATATCAAAACTCCTTCTTTTCATCGCTTTAATAGTAGCAAGAAAGAGTTTTACTTCACTTGAGTATGTCTATATACCCAACAAAGTTATTTCTTTTCATAATTATGCTAATACTTTAGGAATAAGAAAGTTGAGGATGTCGGCCATTCATTACCATCCAGAAAGTAAAAGGGTATTCAGTAATTCAGGTACTCCAATTTAAAAAATTCAAACTTCAAGAAGTTTCTTAGCCATAACTTTCATATAGTAAATTCAAATATTTTTTTAACTGAATCTTATAACTTTAGTCTAAATTCTTTTATTTTTATAAAGATATTCATTATATATTTAAAAAAATATTAATGTCAAAGTTTGCAATATAAAAAGTTGATCAAATTCATAAATTTTTCATACATACTCTTCGAATTCTGAATCACAATAAATAAAGTTGTTCCCCTTTCATTCTCAACACACAAAATCACAAAAGCTCGTTCTTTTGGGTGCTTCAGTAGTAGAATAAAAAAATAGCTTTACTTCAGTTAAGTTTGTCAATACATCCAAGAAAGTCAATTCTTTCATTTCTTTTCCTCCGTTTAGATGCATTTATAAGTCCATATACCTAAAAAAGTCATTTATACTGCTTAATGGCTCGAACTACACTCAATTAAACACAATACACTTTTTCCTTTTTTTTTGACGATTTTATCATTCACTTTCATAGTTATGTTATTATTTTATGATTCGGAGAGTTTAGCATGCCGACCATTCATTCCGATCCGGGAAGTAAAAGGCTATTCAGTAATTCGGGTACTTTTATTTAAAAAATTAAGACTTCGAGAAGTTTCTTAGCTATAACATTCATATAATTAATTATAATATTTTATTTGACCGAATACAATAACTTTAGTCTAAATTCTTTAATTTTGTTAATGCACTTGTTCAATATTAAAAAAAAATTAATGTTAAATTGAGCCACATAACATGTAGAGACAAATTCTTAATTTTTTCATACTTACACTTCAAATCCAGAATACCTATAAATCCCCCCCCCCTTCACTCTCCAAACACAACATCGCAAAAGCTCTTTCTTTTGAAAGCTTCAATAGTAGCTAGAAAGAGCTTTACTTCCCTTGAGTATGTCTATATACCCAACAATGTGACTTCTTTAATTTATTTTCCTCCTTTAGATGCATTGATATGTCTATATAGCTAACAAATTCATTAAAACTGCTTGTTGAATCGAAATATATTCAATTAAAATAAATACACCTTTTCATTTTGTTAACGATTTTATCGTTCACTTTCTTAATTATGTCATTATTTTGGGATTCAGAGATTTGAGGATGCCGACATTCAAATCCAACATGTAAAAGTGTATTCACATATTGTGATACTCCGATTTACAACATTTAAACTTCGAGAAGTGTCTTAGCCGTAATTTTCACAAAAATAATTCGAAAATACATTTTTAGACCGAATCAAATAACTTTAGTCTTAATTCTTTAATTGACTAAACATATTCATTATATATTTTTAAAAAATATTAATGTTGAATCGTTCAAAATAAAAAAGTTGACCCAAATTCTTAATTTTTATCATACTTACGCTTTATATTAAGAATCACTATAAATAAAGTCATCCCGTGTCACTCTCCACACAGATTTCAAAATCTCTTTCTTTTTATAGCTTCAATAGTGGCTAGAAATAACTTTACTTCACTTGATTATGTCTATATACCTAACAAAATCATTCTTTTCTTCCTTTAAGATGCATTTATATGTCTTCATACCTCACATAGTCATTTATACTACTTGTTGACTTGAACTACAGTCAATTAAAAACAATACACTTTTTCCTTCTTTTGATGATTTTGTCGTTCACTTTCATAATTATGCTAATATTTTAGGAATCGGAAACTTGAGGATGCCGGCCATTCATTCCCATCCAAAAAGTAAAAGGGTATTCACTAATTCGGGTACTCCAATTTAAAAAGTTCAAACTTCAAGAAGTTTCTTAGCCATAACTTTTATATAATTAATTCAAATATTTTGTTTGACTGAATCGAATAATTTTAGTCTAAATTGTTTGTTTTTCTTAACGAACTTATTAAATATTTAAATACTTATTAATGTTGAATTGAGAAACATTAAATGTTGACCCAAATTCCTAATTTTTCATACTTCCGTTTCAAATCCATAATCAATATAAATAAATCCCCCTCCCCCTCCCCCCAACTCTCCACGCACAAAATCTCAAGAGCTCTTTCTTTTGAGAGATTCAATAATCACAAGAAAGAGCTTTACTTCTCTTGAATATGTCTATATATCCAACAAAGACATTTATTTAATTTATTTTCCTCCTTTTACATTCATTTATATGTATGTATACCCAACAAAGTCATTAAAACTGCTTGTTAACTCAAATACCTTCAATTTAAAATAGTACATTTTTTCATTTTGTTGACGATTTTATGGTTCACTTTCTTAATTATGTTATTATTTTAGGATTTGGATATTTGAGGATGCCTTCAATTAATTCTAATATGACAAGTAAAAGTGTATTCATTAATTTGGGTACTTCGCATTAAAAAATTCAAACTTCGAGAAGTGTCTTAGCTGTAATTTTCACATAATTAATTTGATTTTTTTGTTTGACCGAATCTAATAACTTTACTCTTAATTCTCTAATTTTATTAAGGCATGTATTGTATATTGTTAAAAATATTAATGTTGAATTGAGCAACATATAAAGTTGATCCAAATTCATAACTTTTTTATGCATACTCTTAAAATCCTGAATCACTATAAATAAAGTCGTCCCCCTTTCACTCTTCACACATAAAATCTCAAAAGTTTTTTATTTTCATAGCTTCAATAGTAGCAAGAAATTACTTTACTTTACTTGATTATGTCTATATACCCAACAAAATCATTCCATTTCCTCCTTTAAGATGCATTTACATGTCTTTATACCTAGCAAAGTTATTTATACTACTTGGTTACTTGAACTACTGTCAATTAAAAACAATACACTTTTCCTTCTTTTGACGATTTTGTCGTTTACTTTCATAATTATTTTAATATTTTATGAATCAGAAAGTTTAGGATGCGGGCTATTTATTTCCATCCGGAAAGTAAAAGGGTATTGACTAATTGGGGTACACCAATTTAAAAAATTCAAACTTCAAGAAGTTTCTTAGCCATAACTTAGATATAATTAATTCATATATTTTGTTTGACTGAATCGAATAATTTTAGTCTAAATTCTTATTTTTCTTAACGAACTTATTAAATATTAAAATAATTATTAATGTTGAATTTATAAACACAAAATAATGAACCAAATTCCTAATTTTTCATACTTACATTTCAAATCCATAATAAATATAAATAGATCCCCACCCCACCCCTTTCATTCTCCACGCACAAAATCTCAAGAACTCTTTTTTTTCAAAGCTTCAATAGTAGCAAGAAAGAGCTTTACTTCACTTAAATATGTCAATATATCAAACAAATCCATTTATTTCATTTATTTTCCTCCTTTTAGATGCATTTATATATATATATATGTATACCTAATAAAGTCATCAAAAATGCATTTTGTTGACGATTTTATGATTCACTTTTTAATTATGTTATTATTTTAGGACTCAGAGATTTGAGGATTCCTACCATTCTTTCTCACCCGGCAAATAAAAGTGTATTCATCAATTCGGGTGCTCTGATATACAAAATTCAAACTTCGAGAAGTGTCTTAGCTGCAATTTTTACAAAATCAAATTGAATATTTGGTTTTGACAGAATTTAAAGACTTAAGTCTAAATTCATTAATTTTCTTAAGGCATACATTATATATTATTATAAATATTAATGTTTAATTGAGCAACATAAAAAGTTGACCTAAGTTCTTAATTTTATCATACATACGCTTCATATCCTAAATCACTATAAATAAAGTCTTTCCCCTTTCACTCTCCACACATAAAATCTCAAAAATCCTTCTTTTCATCGCTTCAATAGTATCAAGAAAGAGTTTTACTTCTATTAAGTATGTCTATATACCCAACAAAATGATTTCTTTTCCTCCCTTAAGATGCATTTATATATCTTCATACATAAAAAGGTCATTTATACTGCTTGTTAACATGAACTATAGTTAATTAAAAATAAAAACACTTTTCTTTCTTTTAACGATTTTGTCATTCACTTTCACAATTATGTTAATATGTTAGGAATCCGAAAGTTGAGGATGCCAGCCATTCATTACCATCCGGAAAGTAAAAAGGTATTCACTAATTCAGGTACTCCAATTTAAAAAATTCAAACTTCAAGAAGTTTCTTAGCCATTACTTTCATATAATTAATTCAAATATTCTATTTGACTGAATCTTATAACTTTAGTCTAAGTTATTTTATTTTCGAAACATATTCATTATATATTTTAATAAAATATTAATGTTGATGTTTGCAACATAAAAAGTTGATCAAATTCATAAATTTGTCATACATACGCTTCAAATCCAGAATCAATATAAATAAAGTTGTCTCCCTTTCGTTCTCCACAAACAAAATCTTAAAAGCTCGTTCTTTTGAGTGCTTCAGTAGTAGAATAAAAAAAGGCTTTACTTCACTTAAGTTTGTCAATACACCCAACAAAGTCAATTCTTTCATTTCTTTTCCTCTGTTTAGATGCATTAATAAGTCTATATACATAAAAAAGTCATTTATACTACTTGATGACTCGAAATACACTTAATTAAACAAAATACACCTTTTCCTTTTTTTGATGATTTTATCATTCACTTTCATTGTTATGTTATTATTTTATGATTCAGAGAGTTGAGGATGCCGACCATTCATTCCCATCCGGCAAGTAAAAGGTTATTCATCAATTCAGGTACTCCTATCAAAAAATAAAAACTTTGAGAAGTTTCTTAGCCATAACATTCATATAATTAATTCTAATATATTGTTTGACCGAATATAGTAACTTTAGTCTGAATTCTTTAATTTTGTTAATGCACTTGTTAAACATTTTAAAAAAAATATTAATGTTGAATTGAGACGCATAACATGTAGAGACAAATTTTTACTTTTGTCATACTTACGCTTTAAATCAAAAGTACCTATCAACAAATCACCGCCCCCCCTTTCACTCTCCAAACACAAAATCTCAAATGCTCTTTCTTTTGAGAGCTTCAATAGTAGCAAGAAAGAGCTTTACTTCCCTTGAGTATGTCAATATACCCAACAATGTGACTTCTTTCATTTATTTTCCTCCTTTAAGATGCATTTGTAAGTCTATATACCTAACAAATTCATAAAAATTGCTTGTTGAATCGAAATATATTCAATAAAAATAAATAAAACTTTTCATTTTATTGATGATGTTATCGTTCACTTTCTTAATTATGTTATTATTTTACGATTCGGAGATTTGAGGATGCCGACCATATATTCAAATCCAGCAAGTAAAAGTGTATTAAAAAATTGTGGACTCCGATTTAAAAAATTCAAACTTCGAGAAGTGTCTTATCTGTAATTTTCATAAAATTAATTTGAATATTTTTTAGACAGAAATTATTAGTTTAGTCTAAATTCTTTTATTTTCTAAACTATTCATTACATATTTAAAAAAATATTGTGTTCAAAATAAAAAGTTGAACTAAATTTTTAATTTTTGTCATATTTACGCTTCAAATCCTGAATCACTATCAATAAAGTGATCCCCCTTTCACTCTCCAAACATAAAATTTCAAAAGCTCTTCCTTTTCATAGCTTCAATAGTAGCTAGAAATAACTTTTACTTCACTTGAGTATGTCCATATACCCTACAAAATCTTCTTCTCCTCCTTTAAGGTTAATTTATATGTTTTCATACCTAACAAAGTCATTTATACTGCTTGTTGACTTGAACTACAGTCAATTAAAAACAATACACTTTTTCCTTCTTTTGACAATTTTGTCGTTCACTTCAATAATTATGCTAATATTTTAGGAATCAGAAAGTTCAAGATGTCGTTCATTCATTCCCATTTGGAAAATAAAATGGTATTCAATAATTCGGGCACTCCAATTTAAAAAATTTAAACTTTAAGAAGTTTCTTAGCCATAACTTACATATAATTAATTCAAATATTTTGTTTGACCGAATCTTATAATTTTATTCTAAATTCTTTATTTTTCTTAACGAACTTATTAAATATTTAAATAATTATTAATGTTGAATTGAGAAAGATAAAATGTTGACCCAAATTCCTAATTTTTCACACTTACGTTTCAAATCCATAATCAATATAAATAATTCCCCCTCCCCTAACTCTCCACGCACAAAATCTCAAGAGCTCTTTCTTTTGAGAGATTCAATAATCACAAGAAAGAGCTTTACTTCACTTGAATATGTCTATATATCTAACAGAGCCATTTCTTTAAATTATTTTCCTCCTTTTAGATGCATTTATATGTATGTATACCAAACAAAGTCATTAAAACTGCTTGTTGACTCAAATACCTTCAATTTAAAACAATACATTTTTTCATTTTGTTGACGATGTTATGGTTAACTTTTTTCATTATGTTATCATTTAGGATTTGGAGATATGAGGATGTCTTCCATTCATTCTCATCTGACAAGTAAAAGTGTATTCATTAATTTGGGTACTTCGAATTAAAATTAACATTTTTAAGAAGTGTCTTAGCTGTATTTTTCACATAATTAATTCGATTATTTCATTTGCCCGAATCAAATAAATTTAGTCTATATTCTCTAATTTTATTAAGGCATGCATTATATAATTTTAAAAATATTAATGTTTAATTGAACAATATAGAAAGTTGATCCAAATTCATAACTTTGTCATACATACTCTTAAAATCCTGAATCTCTATAAATAAAGTCGTCCCCCTTTCACTCTCCACTCATAAAATCTCAAAAGCTCTTTATTTTCATTGATTCAATAGTAGCAAGAAATAACTTTATCATGTCAGATTATTATACTTGCTATTATGCTTGTTAAGTTATGTTTTATTTCAGCTGTACTCTATCCTACATGCTCAATACCTTTCAATATTGACGCATACGTGCGCCACATCTTCTCATGATGTTGATTCAGGTTCATAGCATCCAGATCACGTATAGATCCGATCTCTAGTTCAATAGATAAAGTGTTAAGTCCTCATTTTCCGAGGACAACATTCATGAGTGTTATTTCAGTCTTTAATCATTTAGTTTCTATTTTTTGTAGATTTAGTTAGCAGCTTGTCCCAGTATTTCTAGTCTAGTTTAGAGGATTATTTCAAACATAGTTAGCTTAAACTTAGTATTGAGTTAATATTTCCTTTGTATTAAACTCATTGTTTTAATATATCTCAGTTATCGAATATGGGAAATTCTCATATTTTTATATTTAATTATAATTTAGCTTCCTCATCAGTTTATTATTTTTAGTATGCTCATGAGCATGCCAGCAGGGTTGGCTTGGGACACTTTTGGTTCTAAATTTCGTGTCCGTGTCTCGGGGGTATCTTAAGGCGTGACAAAACATAGTGTAAAAGCACTAGGTTTAAGAGAACTAGGTTGTCTGAAAGGCCGCACTAAATAAAGTCCTTTTCATGGGTGTGAAGTGCACCACATGTAATGAGCGGGAGGCTATGAAGTATTGTAGGAAAAACATCACCTTCTTATTACTCTTATCATGCGTAAGGTATTATCTAATTCCATTATAACTCGATGTTGAGTGCTTAAGTTCATGCCTTCTCGTAGAGCTTAGGCATGGAATGCGAATGCACGTAATGCTAACACAATTCCTCTAGTACCAGATAAGGAAGTTTAAATGTAGAGTTTCAGAACGCCAATTCAGCTTTTGGCTCAGAGTATGACCAACCAGAACAATGCAATTTTTGTGATTTTGTTAGGATGAATCCGCCTAAGTTTTTAGGGTGCAAGTTGGTAAGGACACACAAAAGTTCATTAATAAGTTCAAGAAAATATTTGGTGTGATGTCATTAACTCGTAGTGATAGGTGAGATTGGCATCCTACAAACCCAAGGATGTGACTCACATATGGTTCACTTAGTGGAAAGACAAAAAACATTACTTTGTCTTTTGTAACTCAGTTTAGTAGTCCAATTCAGTGTTAGTCCAGAAACTCTCTCAGAACCTTTCTCAGTCTCTACTCCACTCGGTACCCAATTATAGCTAGACAGGTATACATAAATTATCCTGTCGCAGTATCTCAGAAATTCACCTTAGCAGATCTAGTATAGTTAGAAATGGTAGACTTCGATGTAATTCTAGGCATGGTTTGGTTACACTCATATTATGACTTCGTTGATTGTAGAACTAGGATTGTTCGGTTTCAATTTATAGACGAACTAATTGTAGAATTGAAAGGTAGTAGCTTAGCGCCTATGGGTCAATTTATTTATTACCTGAAGGCCAGAAAGGTGGTTCTCCCAGAATGTGCATTGACTATGCACAATAAAACAAGGTCACAATCAAGAATAGTAATCCCATCCCTAGGATTATTGACTTGTTTGACCAACTTCAGGGTGCTAGCTATTTCTCAATGATAGACCTCAGATCAGGTTATCATCAACTTAGAGTCAGAGAAACAAAATTTAGAACTCGGTATGGTCATTATGTATTTGTAGTTTTGTCGTTTGGACTAACTAATGATCCTGCAACTTTCATGGATTTGAGGAACAGAGTTTTCAAACAGTAGTTGGACTTATTCGTTATTGTCTTTATTGATTATATCCTCATTTACTCTAGGAGTGAGGAAGAACATACAAGTCATTTGAGAGTCGTTCTGCAGATTCTCAAGGATCGCCAATTATTCGCTAAGTTTAGTAAATGGGAGTTCTGGTTGCAATCCTTTGCTTTCCTTGATCACATTGTATCTAGCGAAGTGATCCATATGGATTCACAGAAGATAGAAGTAGTGAAACAATGGACCAAACATACCTCTACTACAGATATTAGAAGTTTCTTAGGTTTAGCAGGTTATTACAGAAGGTTTTTGGAAGTATTTTAATCCATAGCCTCACCATTGACAAGGTTAACTCAGAAGATGGTCAAGTCCCAATGGTCAGATGATTGTGAGAAAAACTTTGCAGAATTGAAAACTACATTGACTACAACTCCTCTGTTGACTCTACCAAAGGGCTCAGATTGTTATGTGATCTACGTGATGCATCCATAGTTTGCCTAGGTTGTGTGTTGATGCAGCGAGGTAAGGTGATAACTTATGCCTCTAAATAAATTAAGGTTCATGTGAAGAAATATCCAACTCATGACCTCGAGCTTGCAGCAGTGGTTTTTGCACTCAAGATCTGGAGAAACTACTTTTATGGTGTTCACGTAGATGTGTTCACTAACCATAAGAGCCTTCAGTATGTGTTCACCAAGAAAAAAGTTAGATCTTCTCTAGAGGAGATGGCTTGTGTTCCTTAAGGATTATGATATGAGTGTGCATTACCATCTTGGTAAGGAGAATATACTAGCAGATGCTCTTAGTATATTATCTATGGGTAGTGTAGCCCATGTCGAGAAAGAAAGGAAGGATCTAGTGAAGGATGTTCACAGTCTTGCTTGCTTAGGAGCTCTGCCTTATGAGCATATCAGACAATGGTGTAACAGTTTAGAATAGTGCAGAATCGTGTTGGTAGTGGAGGTTAAGGAAAAGCAAGACAGTGATCCAATCTTTCTAGAACTTAAGGGCGCATTCCATAATCAGAGAATGGAGGTTTTCTCCCAAGGGGGAGATGGTGTACTTTTCTGCCATGGTAGATTGTGTGTTCCTGATGTGGGCGAGTTGAGACAACATATTCTTGCAGAAGCACATAACTCTAGATATTCTATTCATCCAGGTGCCACTAAAATGTACCGCGATCTGCGGGAAGTCTATTGGTGGAATGTCATGAAGAGGGATATATAGAGATTAATATTCCTACTTGGAAGTGGGATGTGATAAATATGGATTTCATCACATGGTTACCTTGTACTCATAGACAACATGACTCAATTTGGATGATAGTTGATAAAATTACTAAGTCTTCTCGCTTTTTGGCGATCAAGACTACAAATTTGGCAGAGGACTATGCCAAGCTCTACGTTAATGAAATTGTGAGGTTGCATGAGGTTCCTTTGTCTATCATTTAAAATAAAGGTCCTCATTTTACCTCTCATTTCTGGAAGTCATTTCAGAAAGGTCTTGGTATTCAAGTTAACCTTAGTACAACATTTCATCCACAGATGGATGGGCAGGCAAAGTGTACCATTCAGACCTTACAGGATATTTTGAGACCCTGTGTGATCGATCTCAAAGGTAGTTGGCATGATCACCTTCTTCTTATTGAGTTTTCCTACAATAATAGATACCATTCTTGCATTCAGATGGCCCCTTATGAGGCTTTATATGGTTGTAGATGTAAATCTGATGTTGGTTGGTTTGAAGTAGGTGAAGCAGCTTTGATAGGGACAAATTCAATCCTTTATGCTATGGAGAAAGTGCAAGTAATTAGAGATAGACTTAAGACAACCCAAAGTCGTTAGAAATCTTATGACATATGAAAAGGGAACTAGATTTCCAAGTTCATGATTGAGTTTTTCTTAAGGTCTCAGCTATGAGAGGGGTGATAAGATTTGGAAAGAAAGGAAAGCCCAGTCCTAGATATGTAGGACCTTACAAAATCTTGAAAAGGGTTGGCAAGGTGACATATGAGTTAGAGTTACCAGCAAAATTAGCAGCAGTGCATCCGGTCTTCAACATCTCACTCTTGAATAAGTGTCTGGGTTATCTAGACTCTCTAGTGCCATTAGAGAGTGTGGCGGTGAAAGATAGTCTTTCTTATGAGGATGTACCAATTGAGATTCTTGACTATCCGATCAGAAGGTTGAGAAACAAAGAAGTCGCTTTAGTTAAGGTTTTGTGGAGGAGTCAGTCCGTAGAGGAAGATACTTGGGAAGTAGAAGCAGCCATGAAATCCATGTATCCTCACCTCTTTCCTTCCGATTGCTTCAGTTTTCCAGTTATTCATGCGTGAATTCAGTCATAGAATCATGTTACCTCAATTTGTACTTGCATTTTCAGCGTATTTGCATGTTATCGGAACTAAATTAAGTCAGAAACTCGGTTCTCAGTGGTTAGTAATAGGTTTTGAAGATCTCTCCCTTTATTTAACCTAGTTTAGTCTTTATTCAAGGAGGAATGTTCCAAGGGGGAGATAATGTAACACCCCATAGCAAAAATAGACCATAAACAAGCTTTACAAAAAAAAATAGACCATAAACAAGCTTTATAAAAAAATCTACAGGTGCAACCAACGATGACATCGACGGACCGTAGCCTGACCCACGGTCCATCTTGCACAATCGTTGATGGGATCAGAAACTCTCAAAAATTTCAGCCTAGAAAAATTGGTTAAGTCGTGGGTGACGGACGAACTCATGGTCCGTAGTCAGACGAGGGTTTATAGTCCGTCACCGTCAATCAATACTCTATTCAACTACTCTGTGAGAAGAGCTACGGATGACCAGATTGGTCCGTAGGTGGAATATTTGTAGACATTTAAGTGAAAATGCAGTTGGGTCAACTTCAAATGGTTATAACTCCTAGCACAAAATGAATTAGGTGTCCTATGACTTACCCAAAAATATAAAATTGAATGAGCTTTCCATAGCCACAAACCTTGCATAAAATAAGACCTAAAAGTTATGCCAATTTTAGTAAAGACCTGTCGAACAGGCCAAGTCGATGGACCCAACGATGAGGCATATGTCACAAGACGGACAGTCAGTCCTTGTTGTAGTTTGGTCCTACATCAACTTTACCAGGGGTTGTTTTAACCTTACCCACTCTATTTAAACCCTAACTTACGTCGTTTTGACCCTAGATCATCAAATTTTAGTAAGTTTAAGCCTAGAAACATAATTGAAACATATTCAGGTCAAATCATTAAATCATAACCTAGAATTAGAAGCAAGAGAGGAGAAAAAGCACAAGAATCTTAGTTTAAGAACGCCACAAGCTCCAGAAGTTCCAGCCCCAAAATTTAAGTATTTTTCTGTGGATTTCATCACCATGTATGTGTGATTTTACTAGTGGGTTCCTTTCACCCATTGGGTCCCAAGTTTTCAGTCAGATTCTAGATTCCCATATCATGATTAGATCTAGGGTTTGTAGATTTTCAAGAGAAGTTCATGAAAATATTAGTTATATGTTCCAAATTAGATTATAATTTTATTATTAAGTTTATTACATGAATTTCAGAACCCTAGCTTTGTATTTCTTTAGTTCTTGAATTACACATGCTAGATTAGATATTTTAGAAACTTCAAATATACATGCCTCAGTTATAAATGAATAATTACCAGATTAATTGTTGCATTTTCAATTTGCATGTTCAGTTTCGAGCCATCCATTATATACAGAAACTTAGCCATAATGAGTAACATTATAAAATTTATTGGGAGTAGCATGATACCGAATTGGACTAGGATTTAGCGTACCCAAAAGTCCCAGTACTACTAGACAAATAGGTTGTAATTCCCCTTTGTGGGCAATCAATTTAGTGATCAAACCAGCATGCCTTTATACCTCTGGCAGGCTATATTGGGTCCTCTGATGGGGCGTATACATTGGACTCCACATTTAGCTAATGTAGTTTTATTATCAGTTATTAGTAGCTCCCACATATCAGTTAGACTCTCTGCATTGACCATTTATCTGTATATTCAGTATTTAGTTTCAACATGTTATAAATTGGTCATTGCATCTAGTTAGCTAAGAATTCAGTTCATCATGTCTAATTATTATACTTGCTATTATGATTGTTCAATTATGTTTTATTTCAGTTTTGCTCTATCCTACATTTTCAGTACCTTTTAAGTACTAACGCATACGTGCGCTATATCTTCTCGTGATGCAGGCTAAGGTTCTCAGCATTAGATCAAGCATAGATCAATTTCCAATCTCCAGTTCAGAAGATTGAATGGTGAGTCCTCATTCTCCGAGGATAACATTCATGAGTGTCATTTTAGTCTTTAGTCATTTAGTTTCAGTTTTTGCTATATTTAGCTAGGGTCTTGTCCGAGTATTTCTAGTCCAGTTTAGAGGCTTATTTTAGACGTAGTAAGATTCATCTTAGTATTGAGTTAATATTTCCTTTGTATAAAACTCATTATTTTCAAATATCTCAGTTATATAATATGGGTATTCCCCATCTTTTCAGACTTAATTATGATTTAGCTTCCGCATCAGTTTATTATCTTTAGTATGTTCATGATCATGCCAGCAAGGTTAGCTTTGGATCAGTTGTGGTTCTAAATTCCGTGTCTGCGTGTTGGGGATAGCTTGGGGGTGACAGTTTTCATGTGCTTATGAGTGCGTAACGATTTTATGAGGTCCTTATATGATTTATAATAGTTCTTAGAGTCATAATGTTGAGTTTGGTAAGGTTTGGAGGTCAAACATCCAAGAACGTCTGGTGACGTTCGAAAGATAGTCTTTAGACATCCTTGTGAGTTTTGATATGTTTTAGCATGTTGCGTGGCTTGTTAGATGTTGAGATTATTTTTTGATGTTTATAATACCTATAAGTGCATGTTCATAGGTTAGTGCATGTTCATAGGTTTAATGTCTGGGTACGACTTCATGTAGGATCCACAAGGGTCCCTACAAGGAGGAGCCCAACTTGGAGCTCCACCCTGCAAGGCAGTGGCAATCGACTGCCCTAAACGATGGCAAGTCGACAAGACGATGGCCCATCGATGGGTGGAGTCGGTGTAGACATGTATTATTCATTTGGAGGAGCTACATAAGCAACAAATGAACACCATTGATGGGGCGTGGTCTAACCTGGTGATCGTTGATGGTGCTGCAATTTGCCAAATTTTCTATTAAGACTTGGGGTTTTTTGGGAAATTCACCCCAAGTCTTATAAAATTTTAGGAAGGTTATTTTAGGTGTTTATGGGTATTTTAAGAGTATATAAGTCATAAAACTCTCATTTTAACCCTAGCACATAAATCAAAACCCATTCCCTCCCAAAGATTCTTAAGAAACCTCCATGAGAGCTCAAGGTGAAGATAGAGCTTAAAGATGGATATTCAATAGAGTTTCTTCTTCAATTATCAGTGCATTATTCTAATAAGGTATGAGAGTTATTCCTCTAAGTCTTTCTATCACCTTATAGTCAATTTCAAAGATGATTTTCAAAGATTTAAAAAAGATGAAAAAAGTCCAAGTTCTACTCTAAGTCTTGGGTTCTTGCATGAAACGTTTTCAAGAATTAAGATATGATATTATTGATGTATAATTGTTGTTTCCAATAAAATTCTCCATTAACAATTGATTTTCTCAAATCACTCAATTTGACTAAAATATGGGTTTTGTGAGCATGCTTTGATATTAATGAATTCATGTGTAGATTTGTATGGGCTTTTGGTTTATGTATCGATTATGATTGTATGGTTCATAGTCTGTTTCAATTCGATCAATTGATTATTTTATATTACTAGATCCATTGAATATTAAGCTTCTTGAATTGATATTAACTTAATCTTTAGGAATTCTAGTGTAGTTTTATATGGGCTATTGAATAATGTAAGAATTGTATTCAAATAATATATAAATTGTTCTACATTGATAAATCTATATATAATTTACAAAGATTGATTGAGAATTTAGTTTATTGGCCTATTGGTATTGAATTGGATGATTTAGCTTTGGATTGAAGTGGTGAGATCTAATGGGTGGTTTTCTTCCCTAACTCTCTTAATATTATGTATAGCTTTTGTATTACAATGATGATTGGTATGGTCCACTTATGGTGGAGGTTCTATGTACTTTACTTGTAAATGATGTGGTCTTGTCAGTGTTACTTTATGTAATATGATGTTCATGGCCTTTTCGGCACTATTTGAAGTATTATAATGTTTTATATAGTTGACTTATGCGAAGTATGAGAATATATATGAATATGTTATTAAGTTATGCGAAGTATGAGAATATATATGAATATGTTATTAAGTTAAAGTATGTGTTCTATTGATGTTAGTTTATCGTGTTAGACTCCGACTATGTCTTATCTGTGTAGTCGTAGATTTGATGGATGCTTTCTGATTGACTATATGAGTCTATAATGGTTATATTGATGATGTTATAGTAATGTATAGGATGACATGAAGATGATGCAGGTCATTCCTAAGTGATTCAAAGAATGATATGGTATATGGAGTAAACTAAAGAATGTTGTGTCTTGTTTTGGTAGACTTGTGGGTAGACTTTTGTCCATTACATGATACATGTATGGATTCTATGTGAATACGAGATGTCTTGACTAGGTAGGCATAGTGAACCCTTGTTATCTATAAATGAATGATATCTGTGACCTTAAATCATGTCAATAAGGTCATGTACGTGGAACCTTAAACCTAGTGGTAAGGTTAAATAATGAACTTGAAGTCGGGAGCCGTAGTGGTATCCTTCATGTAAAGGATGATGGATTTAGGGTTGCTTGGCTGGAACGACCTTATATCATCCTTAGGAAAGTCATATTGAGATATATATGTCGCCATTGTAAGGTATCCATAGTAGACCTCTTTGGTAGTGTCAATGTGATTGCGTCATGCACTATATAGGAACCTATTTTAATTCAGCTTTAATGTCAATTACTTTATAAGAACAAAGGCTAGCACCGAGTGATTATGTCATGAGAAGTAGCTCTACTTGAGAAGGAGACTAGAGTACAATGTATCTTACTTGAGAATGAGACTAGAGTGCATAAAAGCACTTCATATTCCTTAACCATGTGCTTACATGGGATATGTCCTAGTTCTACCCATGAAAAGTAGAACACCCTCATCGAAGTAGGTTAGAACATCAGATTCCATGTTAAGATATAATGGTCTATGTCGGTTATTGCCTATTCTCATCATATGGGATACCTACTAGAATTAGATAAATTCTATGAAGTTTAGGTGGTTGTATGAGACACTATCTAGACATTGCACGATAGTCTTGGAAGGTGTTAGTGAGAGTCCCTAGGTGTTATCCAAGAGCATTACTTGAATTTCCTTTTGCGATAAAGGATTCTTAGATGAATTAATGAATGTAATGACTTAAGTTAAGAAATCATGTTAAATGAATAAGTACTTATCTAGAGTAGTTAAGGGTTGTCTAGTTGAGGTGTGAAGGGGGCATGGGAATGGTTCGTACCTTACCAAGATAAGTCTTAACAATGACTCTAGTTAGGGAAGATGGTTGATTATGTAGACATGATCTGCGCTTTAGGTGTTCTTAAGGGTTATTTAAGTAATCAAGGTCAATCATGGAGGTTATCTTCAAGATTACTTAAGTAAGTCTTTTGATAGCCTTTGGAAGGAGAATTCCATATTATCTATGTGTTGATGTATTAAGTGAGAATGATTCTATCTTAGGTAGTCTATAGGATCTCTTAAGTGTTTGTGTAAGGGATTGTATGGGCGGTCGCTTCGCAACTCACCCAAATGAACCTTAAAATCACCTTTGGTAGGAGGATCTCATGTTTATGTTCTCGGTGTGTATCTCATTATAGGTGGTATTAAGGATCATTTATGTGTGACTAGAGAGGGTGTATGGACGGTCACTCTTTGTTTTACTTAAGTGAGTCTTGGGATAGCTTTTAGTAAGGGAATCACATTCTAGGAAGTATCCAAGATGAAGTTCAAGGACTTCACTGTACAGTACAACTCATTGTAACATTTTCCTAAAAATGTGAATAATTGCTTAAATAATTTCTTATGTGTTCCTAAGATGTTAAATGTTGTTCTTATGCGTATAGTATTATGTTTTAATCAAAATTCATGAAAACATGTTATTTACTAAATGTCCCTTTTTCATGGTTCTTGCATGACTTTCATACTTAGTGCATCTAATGTGCTAACCCCTTCTATTACCTTTTTGACTAAACTATAGGGAATCGGAAGTGTTGATATGCCATGGAGTATGGATAGGTTTCTAAGGGTTGAAGATGAAATACTAGTGAATCCTTATCGATTCGAGAACAATATCCACATATTCATTTATGTATTAGTCTTTATTTTATGTCTTGTATGGGCTTAGTCCTAAGTGTTGTATACTCCAAAGTTTAGATGGTTCCTTGATATTTTGTAAAGGTTTAACGTTTTAAATGAAAGTCTTATGCTTGCGTATTGATAATGGAAATAGTTTTTTGTGTTTGAAGAAAGTTTTAAATTTTTACTCATTTTAGAATGTTTAGTATGGAATGAATAATACAGTGTCTTTGATGAGACTTCTTGAAGTCTCCTTTGTCATGTGGCGACACAATGACGCTCTAACTTCTAGTGAGTACTTTCGGGTCGTTATAAAAGTTTGTATCAGAGCATAAGGTTTGGGAGTGTCTTAGTTGTCTCATGAACCACATCTAGTAGAGTCTTGATCATAAAGTGAAGCACACCACATCATGAATATGAGGCTATTAGGTGCTACGAAACGTTTCACTTCTTAATTCATCTAATCATGCCTAAGTGTCATGCCCTGAGCTACGCCCGAGACGTGGACACAAAACCTAGCACCACAAGTTATCCCAAGATATCCCTCCTAACATGATCATGAGCATACTAAAGCTAATAAACTGAATGCGGAAACTAAAGCATAATTTATTTTGAAAAGATGGGGAATACCCATATTTTATAACTGATATATTTGAAAACAATGAGCTTAATACAAAGAAGTTATTAACTCAATACTAAGTAAAAACTATGTCTAAAAATAGACTCAAAATTGACTAGAAATGCTTAGACATGCCCCAGCTACGTCTAGAAAAATATGAAACTAAATTACTAAAGGACTGAAATGAACTCATGAAAATTGTCCTCTTAGAATGAGGATTCACCACTAAATCTGTTGAACTAGAGATCAGGAATCGATCTATGTGTGATCTAGATTCTGAGAACCTGAACCTATATAACGAGGAGATGCAGAGCATGTATGCGTCAGTACTTGAAGGTACCGAGCATGCAGGATAGAGTAAA